GGTTGTTCACGCTCCTTTTAGAACCCAGTTTAAAGCACTATTAGACACTTATTTATGCAAATCTTCGCGCTGGCAAGCATACTGCCCCGCGCTGAGAACATAAAGAGCAGTGCTACACCTTTTTTCACGTGTGCTTTTCAGGTGAATGACAGCCACTGATCGACAAGAACAAAACCGACCCGGGAAACTTGGGCAAAAGCCTCGATCCTGTGTATCAATCCTTGAAATCCGTGAAGTTAAAAGAAGGCGCTTGCTTTCATGGTGCTGTCTGCGACTCCTACCAGTGGATGCCCATGGGTGATATATAAATGGTAACCCCTCTTTGGAACCTAAATACCCCAGGGGGTTGACGCTCGAAGGACCCCGCAGGACTCGGAGGGCTCTAATCGGCTCTCCTCTGCTTCTCCTCTCTACAAACGAGCTGTTTAAGTGCTCTAAATATTTCAGAATAGCTCATCTTCTCCAGCCCAATGATTTTAGTAGTCGCTAGGCGTTGGTGTTTCTGCAGGTAGGCCGTATTGTGTTTTGAAGCAAGAGACCAGACCTGCGAAGACTTAGATCGTGGAAGTATTATTATTTTATAGGGTGGTGGGACTATTTTTAATCCTTATGAAATTACAGTCCAGAGCGCTTGATGGGGTGCCCTCTAGTCGTTTTGTCGCTTTCTTTCCCCGCTTATTGGCCGTGTTTGCCGCGAACAGTAACGCACAATTTTCGAGTATCTAGAACTCAGTCTATTGTGTGGGCTTCAAACGCATCCTCGAGAAATCTTAGCGCGGCAGGGACGTGTTGACTGAGAAGGCCATCGTCTATCTGATGACCTCCTGTGACTCCGATTGCAGAATGCTCGTCGATGGATTCCCATAATTTTTGCGTTGGCGGCGAAAACAAAGTACGGAGAGCCCAGTCAAACTACCCGATTATATACTCGTAAGGCCAACAACAAGAGGTCGAACAATGACATTTGGGGAACCTAACTTTCCTTTCAAGTCTGCCTCCCTCATGAATTCCCGGAACCTTTAATCCTTCAAAGCACTTCCTCCCACCTTATGATCCTCCAGCTTGAACTGGAGAAAGGGATTATTTTCCGACGTCCAGGTAGTGTGACTCATTTGAGCCTCCTATAATATGCTTTTCGTCACTTGATCCATGAAATGTATTAGGCTTGTTAGACATGGGCAGACTCTGCGGAATCCGTTCTGGTAACCAATCAGGGTATTCAAACCGACCATGTGCTTTGAAATTTCATTGCGGGTGATCGTCACTAAACCCTGAAACCTAACACGTTAGTCTGCTTGGTTGGTGGTAACTCAGCCTCCTCTTTTGTGTGTGGAAACCATATATCACTATCCTCACTGCTTAAATGCCCTTCTATCGGGAGGTAACAGCGTATAGAGAACTAAGAAAAGCGATGACGTTCATCACGGTCCTAGAGAGAGACTGGTCCACATCAAATAAGCATTGGACCTGTGCTCCGATGTGTGCTTATGTTTTACCTAAGCACATTCGACGTACCGGCCATTAGGCTGATCACTGCTTCAGCATCAGAAGAAACGTTTGAAGTAATAAAGTTCAAAACATTTGTTGTGTGCGCTCGACCATGAAGGAAGTAGAGGTCAGAGTTGACGCTGTCGAAAATTTCGACAGCACCACTATCTTGTTCCTGTTCATTAGTGATAATGATAATGTTTATTTCCCGAGTTATGTGCGGCATACCATCAGGTATGATAGAAATGTTACAGTCAGAATAAAAGCATGACTGGCGGGGATTGTGGGCACAGCAGGTTAGGAAAAGGGACAGCATCATTGATGGTGGGCAATATACGAAGTAAGGTTACAGTCAAATAAAAGCATGACTGGCGGGGATTGTGGGCACAGCAGGTTAGGAAAAGGGACAGCATCATTGATGGTGGGCAATATACGAAGTAAGCATGATCAACCGGCAAAGGAGGGAGGCACAGTTGCCGTGCGTTATTGGACGGAATATGGAGCAAGATCAGATCGTTAAGATTTGAAGATGGCGGGCAAAGAAACAAAGTGGAGAGTGCTAAACAAGCGTTTTCTTGTCTGACACATGACAGTAAAAACGTGAAGGTAAAAAATGAGGTACCAGATCATCAGATCAGATGAAGCAGCAGAGCTGGCGTCAGCCAGACGGTCATGTTGAACTAAAGCCTAGAACCACCGTTAAGGCCTCGTGGCCCTGAACTGTTGGACTCAAGTTCAAGGTCACAAAAAATGTAAGTGGAGGGACTAGCAATACGGATAGGTGTTAACATGAATCACAGAGACACGGTGTACAGCAAAACTGCAGAGACTCAGGTCAAGGTCACAAAAAATGTAAGTGGAGGTATTAGCAAAACGGATAGGGTTAGCATGAATCACAGAAACACGGTGTACAGCAAAACTGCAGAGACTCATCGGTGTCGCTGTTTTTGAGTCAGGTAAAATCGGTCATTGGAAGAGTGAGCTGATGGCAACACGCAAGCCGGACTAAAAACTGTATAGAAAGTTATTGAATTTTGTGAGAAGCACAGAAACACAGAGGTGGTTAAATTCGAGGGAACAGTTCAATAGGTTGGAATGAATGTGGCATGGAGTCTGCTGGGGTTAGATGGAGAGTTTGTCGTATTGGCAGTTAATGGAACGAGTGGGTGAGAGGGCGTGGTTGAGAGACGAAACGGAATATTTTACAGCTCTCCTTTATGTCCCTGCCGGCCCTGAATCGAATAACCATTCTGCGTATTTTCTCCCGTTTCTCGTCGTTTTTTGACAAGTTTGTTCCTCATGAACCTACGATAACCAACGGCTGCGTTGTTCATGCATTATTTTGGAGGGGACGCATCTTGGTGGCAGTCTCTAAGCGGAAACGTGCATTGATTGTAGCCTTGTAATCGTCTGATAACTGGTTTCGGAAGCTCTTCCGGTGCACGTGCCATTGATTCTCAAATTCAAGGCGGCCGCACATTTTGTAACTGATTTTATGACCAACCCCCAGAATTTTTGGGATTTCCTGGTTTTTGGGCTTCCGTGCAGTGTGGCTGTAATACCGGTGAAAGAACAAAGGCCTTCGCTGTGGAGTTAGTTATTAGGAAATGCCGACTGACCGGTTACAGACCATTGGACAGGGAAGCAAAACTGTCATTTGCATCTGAGTTACAAAACTGGACGTCCATCTCCTCCTGAACGCGTCATCTTAAACTTTCCTGGATATTCATTGACTCCAATCATTCATCGCTTAAATCCAAGCAAATGTTACAGAGCGTCTGCACAAGTTCCGCAACAGATCTCCCCTTTTCAAAAGACGCAATGCGAAATTCCACGAACAACACACACTACTCGCGTGCCTCCCCATCAGTTGTATCACCGTTACACCGGTAGTGAGAAACGATACTGAGAGCCTTACCCTTGTACACCCTGGAGCCTGAGTGTTAAGATGTACAGTGCTTCCCTCTTCGGTGAGTTCAGTTAGGTAAGAGAACTGTGAGGATGCAGCCAACTACTGCGCCATCACACCCATTCAATCTGTGGATATCCGAGCCTGTAAAGTGAGACTTTATATCACTAATCTCGGTGCCTGACCAGCCTTCTGCGAGTATCACAATGTGCGCCTCCACCTAGTTTTTTTTACAGATGTTACAGGCTTTTACGTCTGCAGACTGCGGTTGCATCGGCCTAGTTTTTACCAGCGCGACCTCCGATCCACGGCCAAGTTCGTTTTCTGGCTCCTTGATTTCATGTTGTTGCCTGATATACAGACCGATTATCTGGTGACCCTCCCAACCAATAATTTCATCACTGTTTCCCAAGAACGGATTTGTGCTGCCTCAATGAGAGTGGTCTGTGGCGCCTGAGTATCGCCATTTCCTATCTTCTCCGGCGTTCGCCGCGACTATCTTTCTGCACAGTGCCACCAGAAAACAAGCAGTCCCATTTCTGATTATTTTGGTAATTCTGACATTGGAGTCCTGATTACTTTGAACGCTTATAGTCTCTATACTTTCTTGTTGAGCATCCTCGTGCTGCTAAGCATTAGAAAATAAGGTCGCGCCAACGATTCAGTCTAACTTGTGACAGTCGGATTGGCTGAGAATCCGGGTGTGCCTGACCATCGGCAGGCTGACCAGGGCCGGAGCGGTGGGAAATGGTTACACGCCACGTGTCCCTCAATTGGCTCCTTCGGCATTCTTGTGTCAGTCTCAATTCTTTGCCATTTTGTGCTGTGCCTCGTGGTAAAATTATGCGAGTTCCTCCCTTCCACCTGAGTGGATACACCGTTGGCCCGCATGCCTGTCTTTCTTCTCCATTAGCAACATTTGCCTCAACAATGGCAAGCCGCTTTGTTTAATTGGGAAGGAAAATTTAAACTCTCGACAACACAGTCAAACGGTGAATTGTGTTCCACTACAAGTAGCGCACTGGTCATACGTCTTTGTTTAGAGCTTCCCGCCCTGACTGAAACAGCTGATCCGGGCGCAATCTAAATCGCACACCTCCTCTAAATGCATTTTGCCTCAGAAGAGAAGAACTTTTCGACAAGGTGATTCTTAAACATGGTGCACAAAAATAGTAGGGAACGGAACTTGTTTGCACCCATGTGTCGTCGCTTGGCGTGAGAAGACTCACGCAGGCCAAACCAAAAAGGCAGAGCCGTTCATCCACATTTGATTAGATGAAACATGTGGACAGCGGTTTGTGCCCCTGGCATTTGACTCGCGCGTTGTTAGAGTGAAAATGCTTTCATTTAGGTTAGGCGTAATCCAGCTTTTTGTGTATTTACACGCCCTCTGAACATCCATACTACGTGGTAACAGAGTGCCAACGGGAGTGTAATATTTTTGGGAAGCACTGTCCAATTTTGGTGACTAGCTACGACCTTGTTCACAGACGGACCCCTGCAAATTCAGCCACATTTAAACTGAGACCAGCGCAGAGTATGTTAGCTGTATCAGAGGTGTGGTGTCAGAAAAAAGGACTGGAAGTTAGTATAATTTCTCAGGAAGACGAAACTGTGGGATTAGAGTGTATGGTTGACGACCTAAAATGATGAAAATTTTGAAGGCAGAAATGTGCATGAGGATCTTGTCTGCAACAAAACATTGAGATTTGCATAATAGAACTACAGTTTAACAACCGAAGTGGAAACATTGATAATCGGTTTACCGAAGAATGTACTTGTATCATGCAGTCGAACTGTAGTCTATGTCCGAGTTGCGCACATCCGTCCAAAAGAATTCTCCATTGAAAACGACCTCAACAAATGTTGTCTTCCTTTCAGAAAACACCTGGGGAAGTGTTCGCATGCGGTAGCCGGGAAGGCAGTTGTGAAAGGCATTTACCCACCAAAAATGATTGATACAGAAAAACATTTCGTAGTTGGCTTGCAAATCTGCCAAAAATTGCGATGAACAAAATGAAGTGGTTTGAATGATACTGTAAACTGTCTAACTAGAGCCATGTGGGCGCCGATAACATGAACAAAATTACAACAATGGTAATATTAGTATTACCAATGTTTCTTCCCAACTGGTGGGTGGCCTATCGTCAAACATGATTGTAATGGTACACTCAGAATAAAAGCACGACTGGCGGGGTTTCTGGGTAGCGTTTATTGCGCGAAAAAAGGATAGTGTCATAATGAGTGGTTATTATCCGATGTGGACGTTAGGGTTTCAAGGTGGCGACCGAAAACAAAATGAAGGAGAGAAAAATAAGAAGCATCCTTCCTGACAAATGACAAAAAACTAAAAATTGTAGAAAAGCAGGAACCAGAACAACGAATTTTGTGGATCGGCATGGTTGGCCTAATCCAGGCGATCAATTTGAACTTGAATTCAAGGCCACCGCTGAGGCCTCCCGGCCATTGTCACGAAAAGCGTAATGGGAGATGATGAGGTAGAGGGATTAACATGCGGATGAAGTGTAGCAGGAATATCATAATCACAATATACAGTGAAACTATAGAGACCCACTGCTGCTTCTGCTATGATGGAGTTGTGGGGAAAGGTTCATTGGAAGAGTAAGTTGATGATAGCACACAAGCCGGAACGCGAACTTTACGGAAAATTATTAAATGTGTAGATAGCGCGGGCTGAGAGTTCACCAAAATGGTTAAATTCGAACGAGAAGTTAAGCGGACTCGAATGGACACGTTTTGGTGGTGGCCGGGACCGAGTGAAGAGTTTGTCCGTATTTGCCGGTAATTAAACAAGCGGACCAGGGGGTACGGTCAAGAGTAGTAGGGGTATAGTTGCGGTGACAGACTCTTGATGCAGCACAAACATTTTTCCGAAGGCAGGTAGAAGCGGTAGGGGGAATGCAATCCTTCGAGTGTAGTCTTTTATCACTGCTCTAATTTTTTACACGACCGCCACCCGTACTCGGACAGTACACTCCAAAGGATGATACCTTCACATTCTCGGGGCCTAAAGCTTCTCTTTTCAAAATTCACACAGTAACAGCTAACCATCTTTATTCCACAGTTACTCACCTTGAACAGAAACTAACTTGTTTTTGGAGTTAGGCTTTTCAGTTCTCTTATAGTGCGTCAGGCGAGATGCCTCTTGTTTTGCCCTCCTTCATTTTGTTTTCGCTCGCCACCTTGAAACTCTAACGTCTACATCGGATAATAACCACTCCTTATGACGCTGTCCTTTTTTGCGCAATAAACGCTACCCAGAAACCCCGCCAGTCGTGCTTTTATTCTGAGTGTGCCATTATGATCTTGCCTGACGAAATGCCGCCCACTAGCTGGGAAAAAATAGGATTGCTAGTCAAAATATTATCGGTTCTGAATTCAGTCGACTTTTGACTGTGTTGCTAACTGATGTTTTCACGCAGTCTAACATGCTTGTGTTAGGTCGGAATGTCTCGATTTAGATTTTTTACAATCGGCTGGCGTTCAACCATCGGGAGTTGGCAAGATTTATCAGCGATTCCATGCACTCCGTTGTTCCAGCTCATCATCGTTAGCAAATTCTAAATTAACACGCAGTAGAATGTTTGTTCCTCCACCTGGCTTTTTTGGGCAAGGCCAACTAGACAGTATCAGCCCAGACAACCGAGATGCCAGCACAAAACACCCTGGGTTCTGCAGGCGGTCAAAGAATAAGATCTGGAACTTTATTCTGGACCGCATCTGACTCGGTCTCCAGATCCGACAAAGGGGTCCCATCGGTCATTTTCCGACTCTTCCAACACACCCAAGTGATATCACCATCCGAAAATCGTCAGCTCATATCAGTTACTGGTGCTCTTTCTGTGATCGAACTACATCACGGGTTCTCCGAGGGGTCGTCGTGTAAATCAAGAACACTTTGTGATGTCGCGCCCCCCACTTATTATTTAGACCCATAACTGACGGCATTATTTCGCCACTATTACCCCCTCGAAGCCCGTTATTCCAGGCGAAACAGCTCACAAGCCCATTTTTTACGCGTTCGCTGGCTATTCAACTCCCTGGTTCCTGGATTTTGGAACTTCGGTCGGTTAATCTTCCCGGGGAGAGTTGTAGTGCCAGGAAATTTCACGAAAACTATCGGCGAAGCATCTCTGAGTAAGTGAAATTTCAGTCTTACGAGCAAGGTGAAAAGTACTCGCAAGTAACCTGTATACACTGCTACGGTGCTCGGATAATACTGGGAATACTCAGAGTGACGCGCAACCTGGCCCTCAACACACAAGATGAACATGATCCCCATGAGACTAATGGGACCCCAGATGTTGCAATACGGATCGTTGCGTGCAGTAAAAATATACAGCACAGTGAGGATAAAATAATTTCATCTTACCTTGCTAGTGAACACCGAACTCGGTGGGTAAATAAGAATCACCTCGAGCGACGTCTCAGCTCAACGCTGAATGTAGTTGGTAAACGGTGCGTTCACACAAAGTGATGAGCAAGATAATGATCGTAAAACTATTTCTTAGTATAAGGAATTGCGCACATCAGACGCTACCTTCATAAAAGTGTAGTCAGTGATGGAAGGAGAGTTTAGATCTGGAAATCACGCTTGAAGATTAGCGGTGTAAACGTTGGTTTACTCCTACGCCATGAAGAGGTGAACGAAGTATCAAGCACGAATGAATATCACTAACACTAGGGCCATTTGGCGTAAACCCGATAACTAATTGAACACTTTAGCGTCCACAGGCTGTGTTGCTCATCAATAGATGTCCCACGCTGGTATTGATGTCGGCGAGCTAAATATGCAAATATACACAAGCACACGCCTTCGTCACTATTATCACCACACTCAGACGGTCGAGCTGCAACCTTTGTTACCACATTCATGCTCTCGCCTACTATCCTCAATGGCGTTTTCCACTTCAGTACTACAAATTACTTTGGCTCACGCTGGATCTTTAGACTAAATCCGGCTGGGTTGCGGCCTCATCCACTGAACCCATTTTTACGGTCGGGAACCATTTATATCTTATCTATTACATAAACACGCCGGACAGAACAAATTTCGGTGCTAATATTGGCAAACCTCAACTACCAAACAAAGAAGTAGAGCGAAGTTCCGACCCTGAATGTTACCACCATCTCTTCAAATGCGTTTAAATTGCCGGGATGGCGACAACAATCCTCCAAGCTGAGGAGAATACGAACCGGCGAGCGCATGCCAGTCCTGGCCCATACCCTCACAAATAATTGTGGCGCAGTAGCCCAGGGTGCCATCCACCCAAACGGGTACAGAGACCACACCACTCTTGGAGCACGTGTAATGCTAGCACTACATTTGTGCAACAACTTCCCCGTACTTTACACACCACCATGGTGATCACTCCTGCATGTGGAATCTGCTGGGATTGGTTAAGTGAACTCTTCCACTGAATTTAATCCATGCCTCTAGAAATCGACCTTGACTCTATGCTTATCTGGTCTATTTTAAAGGTCAAACTTTAAAGCAATCAGGGAGGCCGGAGCACCGAACGGCGCAGCCTCCAAACCTGTGGGCGATGAACGCTACTTGTTATGTACAAAATCCAAGAAAAAGGCATGGTCACAACCAAACGTTACAAAATTAACCTCTTATCTCTGCTTGCGCAATTCTGGAGATCCGGATTTCTCTGTAGGGTGGGAGGAGTCGATAACATTTGGTGACCTTGTGAGAAGACTGTTGCTCACTCAGGCTACTGGATGTTAATGTGAGCCGACGAATGTGAGGCTCAAGCTATACGCACAAACCTAGTCCAACGGCGACCAACGGCACACTAAACTTTACTCCCTGTTGACTACCTTGGCCATTTTGTGAAACTGCTAGGACAGTGCCTATGAGCAACGCCGATTATTAGGCTTCAGCTGTGCACGGTATCCCAACCTAAAAGCCAGCGATGGCCCCTCATAGACACAGCTCTGCGCGCTCCGATTGTCTTCTACCTATAGTAAATGTCGGGCCAGTACCAATGCGGGCCGATAAAAATGAGGCCCCAACCATGCGTGATATCCTAATCTAACGGCCAACAACGGCCCATATTGCTCGTAACTATGGTCGACATCGCCAACCTTGGCTACCTATCTTAATTGCTAAGTCTGTATCTATGTGCGACGCTGAGTATGAGGACTCAGCTTTGCACAGTAGCCCAGTCCAACGGCCAAAGACGGCTACTCATACTCATAATTGCACTCGATTCCCACTGCCGAGGCTACCTATGGTAATTGCTGGGCACTTGCGCGTGCCTGTAGCTGAGTACATTGGCACGGCACCTCCACACTCAGTTTGATGGCACACCCACAAATAACCCCTTCCTTCTCTTGACAGTACCCTATTGCCCACTTGTTCCGTTAATTGCAACTACGAGCAAACGCAGGCTTCATTCTGACCTCAACTTTATGATCACGCCGGTATGCCAAACACCAATTTGGAATAAACATCATTATTGTAAACTGACGACTTGTGTGCTCAAAGTGCACACTAAAGAACGCGAAGATTTTGGTTAGTTCATCCAAAGGTACCTGCGACATTTCCTCCTCTTCGAAGGTGAGAACGATGTCCTCATCCTCCAGATCGACAAAATTTTTGGAGTAGCATA